TGGCCCCATTACACCCATTACTTTACTAAAATATGTAGGCAGTTCAGATCAAAATCAAGACATAAAATAGAAAGTTCCAAAATAAATGCATCTTTGAGAAAATCTTCACATTATGTATACTTTATAGAACTTTTTTCTATGGACTCTCTATATATTTGCCAAACCCCAGACAACTGATAACATCCAGTATACTAATTTAAAACGAAAAACATTTTCTGAATGACTATATTTTTCAAACCTAGGTAACCAAAAGCACCCTGTATATACCATCAACTACATGGACATTTCGAATGAAAAATAAAATCCCAACTTATTTTATTAGCTGAAATCTAGCATAATATGAAAGACCTGATGTTTTACGAAACACCCTGTATTCAAATAAAATTCAATTTCTGTTATTAGCTGAGAATCAGGCAAAATATTAAACTGAAAAAACTCAATGTTGCACGAAACACCCTGTATTTAAATAAAATTCTATTTCAGAGTTATACTTTTTTCGTAAGCTAAATTATACCGAAATATAAAACTGAAAATCCAAAATGTTTTACGAAACACCATGTATTTGAATAAAATCCTAATTCAGATTTTTATACTTTTTCGTTAGCTGAAATCTAAAAAAATATAAAAAATCCTAATATTTTATGACACACCCTGTATTTGAATAGAATCATATTTCAGATTTATACTTGCTTCGTCAGCTGAAATCTAACAAGATATAAAAAAAATCCTATAATGCTCTACGGAATACCTTGTATTTGAATAAAATTCAATTTCTGTTATTAGTGGGATTTTAGAAAATATAAAAAATAAATTCCAAATGTTTCACGAAAACGCCCTGTACATCAAGTTATTATTATACACAGTTTTCAAAATGTTTCGCTTATTATTGTTGATGTAAACTGTTCTCTTGTTGTCCCCAAAATTCAAGGTAAGTATTTTAAAAAGTGTCCAACTCAGTTCAATTTGATAATTTTTCTCAGACATGTACCTAAGCACAATAATTTTTAAGAATCAAATGAAATCGTTGCTAAGAAACAATGGGTTTAAATAACTATAGTTTTTCGTGTCTATTCAAATAATACCGAACTATCCAAGACTGACGCCTTTTTCGGTTGATAAGCAGAAAACTAAGCAACTTACCAATTTCATTGAGAAACAGCTATATCCAGAAATGAACGAGTAGCATCCATCTATACAGTGAGGGTTGCTTCATTATCTAGTTTCCCATACACACAAACACACACAAACGGCACAGATTTTGGCAAAACACAATAAAACATATGTCCAACCCAACTAAAGAATGAAATAATACTCTTATGATAGAAAGAAATATTGTTATTCGAACTTTAATCACACAGGAAATATGATGATAGCGAGAAACAGGAAATCGTAATCTCGGGCTGTTTCAGTCACCTATAATGAATTATTAAATATTCGAATACTTTTCCTTCTAATCTTCTACGAACTGTAAATGCCAATGTTATACAGGGTGGCTCGAAAAGAAATTCCTTTTTTCAGTGGGGCACTATATGTATAATATTCCTAAGTGTTGATTATCCCTGCCAAATATTAACATGTCAACATGACATAGAGGTCTTGATCATTCAGTGGCACTATATTATTATATATTGCTGTACGAGTTAAAACATACCATAGGAAGAATAAATAAATTTGCTATACCGAATGTCTGAAATGAAACATAACCTCAAAGAGCTTTGTCTAGTATTGATGTATGATAGCGTTTTTTTTTGGTCATCTGTCAAATGTCAAACGTCAGGCCATGAGTGCCCTATGTGAGTTTGTATTGCTATTATTGCTGTATATCAAACGGATACTCTATCATACGTATGTTTTGCTGAGTGTACCTGTGAGCCGCCCTATTTCTTATCGCTATTGCTAACTCAAACATCCTGTATATTAAATTATTAGGTAGCGGTACTTGCAGGTCATCTAGTCACGTCGTGTCATCAATCCTTTGTCTTATGTAATACGTCAGCTGTCTAATCCCGCAAAAGTGGGTGAGGCGTCCAGTATATTTTTTGACTGTTATCCAACTCAAACGCCCTGTATATATCATGTTATAGCGGGTAGCCTTTATATGTAGGTCGGAGAGGTATAACGCCTTTTGGGTTCATCCTATATTTTTTTCCAAACTATTACCCAACTCAAACACCCTGTATATAGCCGTTGTTAAGTGAAAAAATGGAATAAAATGCGCACCGTTATCTCTGGAACGGATCTCTCGCTTTGCTCGCCGATGATGACGACCCGTTCGCTAGGCCGCGAGTAGCTAGCCGAGTCAGGCCGGCCTGTGATTGGTCGGCCGAGTCACGTGGTTTGGAGAAAAGTGGAGGGGAGGGGCTGGACTGGAGAGGCGGACTACCTACTAGGGCTATATGGAATAGGTCCATTATCCTTATTCATTACTCTATTACTATTCTCAAATATCTCTAAGCTTTCATATGCGTCTAGTTTTCTAGTGTTATTAACTTGCTTATCTAATTTGAGGTTAGTGATATGTGTGCCATGATTGTGATTAAACAAATGTTCGGCTACACAAGATTTATCAAACCTGCTATATTTCAAATGGGCTATGTTTTCTTTGAATCTTGTTTTTATGGGTCGCCTGGTTTGGTCTATATATGTTCCATCACAATCATAACAACTCATTTCGTATATTCCCGACTTTTCAAGTGTGTCCACTTTATATTTCGGATTGCCTAATGAATTGCCTAATTTTGACCCAGACTGATGAACGCTTTCAAAACCTAAGTCTTTGAAAACCTTATCAAGTACCTTGGTATACTTGGGATTGTACGGGATTGGGATTCTTCTAGAGTTCTTTTTATCCACTTGGAAAGTCGTAGAATATCGAAGTGTCAACTTAAATTTATGTCTACGTATTAATTAAAATAAACATTACATTTAAAATACTTTTCATAGTATCATTTTTTTTTGCTACTTTCATGATATTATCTGATGATCAGTATGATATACCCCTGTTAACGTAACAGGCACGGTTGCAACCTTGCATTTTGCGGATTTAGGTATATGTACTGGGTAGGTCATCTGATTTTGCATTACTTATAAAATAGCATAGGTATATCCCTATGAATTTATGAACATTTAGTTTCTGGGTGGGTTTTTTATGTGGATTTTACGGGTATGGGATAAAACTGGGATTTAAATATTATGTAACACTTGGGTGCTATACAGTCAGGTTTTGATTTGAACATTCAAAGTAATCAGTAGTGAAGAACATTGTTGCTAGTAATATTCAAATATATAGTGGGGTTAATATTGAGTCATTGTGGAGGTATGCAGTCCACATTTACCTGGCGCCCTTATTAACATCCATTATTCTGAAGTAGATCTGAACCCACTCCGTCTCCACTGAAGTTCAGTCGCGAGCCCATATCCTCTGTCAGCAAAGGACAGATAAGTTTATCAATCTCCAAGTGAGATTGTCACAGGTAGAATTGAATTTGTGCTCCCCTATAATGAAATTTTCCAACTGACCAACAAAAAATTCCGGTTTTACGTGGTCATCATGTTCACCTACCCAGTTAACACAAACCTCTCTGAGATGTCACATTCAGGTCACCAAATGTTAAAAATGCGAATCGCAATTATAAGTTGCTGTTACCGCTACGGGATACGTATTAAGATGAATGGTTCACAATGAAACTCACACTTTAGTCGATCCGATTCAAATATGAATGTGTATTTGTGAGTCTATCTAGCATATCAAGTACGTTCATTGAACGCGTTGAAAATGAATTCCTTTGGAATCTCTGTATAATGTCTCAAGGATAAATAAGTGATTCGTATTCATTATATTCCATAATAACTAAATGTGAACAGGCGTCAGTAACAGTTTATCAATTTTGCTAACTTCTCAGGAAATTTTCATTTCTGATACGACCTTCCACTGGTAGAATGACGACACATTGTTCAGTCGTGATTCAGAAGTGACTTTTTCCAGTTGTGGCATTATACTTCCGTAGCCTGCGATATGATGTTCGAGCTTGCTTCGAAATTCATTCCTACAATTTCATTTTACTTTATTTTCTCTACCTCTACTGACGAGCATAATGGATTTCAGGACTTATTCAGGTTTTCTAACAAGTTAAAGCTCTTCAGTCGACACTTTCGCTCGAATGGTTATTTTGTCTAGCTGAAGCTCGGCAGAATAATTTCCATCCTCAAACACAAAGTATCATTTCGCATTCTAGATACAAAAATATGTGTTTCGAGAACTGCCTGCAAATGTTGACATATTGTTTAAATGTCAGTGGAGTTTCACGTTCTAGAACGCGAAATAGAACGTGAATGTTGAACATTTTGTCAAAATATGTCGGGAACTTATTTCAATAACGTATGTCAATTGAAAACAATAGAGAAAAATGAATTTGTCGAGTAAAAATCAATTTGATCGTACATCAAGAAATGTATCTTGATGCATAGAAGATGTGTAGGTACCAAATTTGATGAAGGTGTATAAACAATAGCATATAACAGTTATAGCAGTTAATGAAAGAAAACATGTTTTTTTCTGAAGTTTACCACCCTGTATCTCAAAATTCAAGACGTTTAGGACATAAGTTTTTGTGAAGATTTTTCTCAAAATGGGTCTAAGAATCACCCTCTGCATCCGCCTGTATAGCATATATCCCCATCTATTTATCATGGCCGATCAGTTATTTGTTCACCGGTAGATTCGAAAATACATGCATGTTGCGCACAATGTGCTCAGCACGTGGTCGTTTAGGGTCGTAGATGTTGCCAAGAGTACCATATATAACGACCTATATACCCCGATTCCATTGATTCATCGAGCTCATACTCGACTACTGTTACTATCGACAATCGAATAAAATACTCATTTTGAAATGAAACAATCCATAAGTTCGACGTATCCTAATTACTATTGATATTAAAAACTCAAATATCGAAAAGTAGTTCTAGTAGTAGTAATCGAAGTACTTGGAAATTGTTCATAAGGACTCTGATATTAGAAGGCGTGGCATCAGTGTGAATGTGAAATTGCCGGTTGCCGGTGTGTGTTCGTTTTTCGTTTTTCGATTCATAGCGTCTGATAGCGTCTATACTAACTTGAACTAGTTTGATTTTGCTGAGAGTGTCAGAATTAGAATCGTTGATTTGGATTATATTTTGTGGTTTGTTACTTACTATTAGTGTGTGTTCATTGCATCGTGGCCAGCCAGGCCAGCCTTGATAGATAGAAGTTATTCCTAGTTGTTATAACTGCATGTTCTTCTCTCAAACGTTTTCCTTTATTGTGGTTTGGGAGGAGAAAACCTATATAATAACTTTGAGCATTCACACTAGGTTATAATCAAGGATAATAAGCAATAACTACCTAGGTTATTAGATAATTCCATTGTCATGCCTAGATACCAGGCTATTGAAGATTTGAGTTCACGAAAGAGGAGAATAATGTAGTCAGTTATATTGCATTCTTTCGATAGGTCAGGCTCAAATGGAGCTTTTCCATTGCCTAATAATATAATATCACAAAACTCTGCAATGATTTCAGATTCGGTAGTAACAGAGGTTACTTTCAATAGTGGTTTTATTGCAGATGTTTCTGATCTCGTTTCTAATTCATTTCCTGATAATGATGGTTCTATCGATATTACAAGTCAGTTCATGAGCGAACCAAATATAAGAGAGAACATCATTTCGAAGGAAAAAGTTCAAATATGTTCTAATGATGATCCTGATAGTTATTTCACAGAAGACAAAACTACTCTCGCAAATGACTTGCGTCAATGGTTCTTGGAGGAAAATATATGTCATTCTGCAGGCAATAAAATATTGAAGATTCTGAACAAACATATGAATAAAAATGAAAGTTTGCCAAATGGCACTCGTACACTATTGGGTACAACATGCAATATTACTTCATATGATGTTTCTCCTGGTAATTATGTATATTTTGGATTGAAACTTGGCATAGAACGTAATTTACATACCTACTTCCTCAATCACATTCAGTTACCGAATAAAATATATTCAAATTTCAATATCGATGGTCTTCCCATTTCAAAAAGTAGTCTCAGTCAGTTTTGGCCTATTCTTGCTTCAATTTCTCAGGTAGATTTTTACACAGAACCGTTTGTTGTGGGTATTTATCATGGGGTCACTAAACCAACTTCAAATAATGAATTTTTGAAAATGTTCATTGATGAAATGAAAGAATTGCTGGAGTTCGGGGTCAATTTCAATAATCATAATTCAGAAGTTGGTATCGTAGCTTTTATTTGTGATGCACCTGCGAGAGCCTACATAATCAATGTTAAATCATATTCTGGATTCCATTCGTGTACTAAATGTACGACTCAAGGAGAATACTATGAACGACGCGTTATATTTCCTGAGTTAGGTTGTAAATTAAGAACTGATCTCTCTTTCACAATGAAGGAGGATGAAGATCATCATAAAGGGACTTCAATTCTGGAAAGCTCAAATTTTGGTATGGTTACCCACTTCCCACATGATTATATGCATTCGATTTGTTTGGGAGTGATGAAGAAAATATTGATTTTATTGACAAAAGCTAATATATCTATTAGGTTACATGAAGAAAAAATCGAGAGTTTATCTTCCAAACTGTTGAATTTGAAATGTTATATTCCTTCAGAATTTGCTCTAAAACCCAGATCTTTAAACGAACTCGAGCGTTGGAAGGCTACGGAATATAGACAGTTTCTATTATATACTGGACCTGTCATTCTTCGAGATATTCTTCCAGATGATCAGTACAAACATTTTATGTCGCTTAGTATTGCAATAAGAATTTTATGCCTCGATAACAAGAAGTTATATTCCTATGGTCATTCTCTTCTGGTATATTTTGTAGAGCATTTTGAGGTTTTTTATGGTAGAGAAAATATTTCGTACAATGTTCATGGTTTGATCCATCTTCTTTCTGATGTGGAAAAATTTGGACCTCTAGACAATTTCAGTGCATTCAAATACGAAAATGCCCTGTATAATCTCGAATGTAAATTAAGACAAACTCATAAACCACCTTTACAGCAAATTCATGATAGAATTCACGAAAGTTATTCACATAAACGGGATGAAACTGTATTTAATACTTCGAATCCTATAGTAGATAATATAACAGTAAGAGATGGTCATCCCACTTTCAAAAATATCCATTTTGCAGATTTCATGCTCTCAATAGATTGTCCAAACAATATTTGTATTTTAGATGACAAAAGTATCTTTGAAATCATTCGGATTAAAAAAACTGATGATGAAATATTTTTAGATGGAAAACAGTACTAGAACCAGAAAATGTTCATTGACAAACCTGATGTCTCATCTCTTGATATTTTTTTTTATAAAATCGAATTATTTTCTAAATGAGCGTATTCCAGTAACCCGTGTATTGAATAAATGTTTGAAATTCGTTATTGATTCACAAAATTTTGTAACAATGAATTTCATAAATCAACTTTAATAAGACTAATTCTTTAATAGTTATTTGTTTTACTAGGCAGGAAAGTAGTAGATTGACTGCCGCGGCTGACAGTTCATAGCCGATCGATGCTAGGAATTCAGCCAAGGCAGTCAATCTACATTTGCTGCCGTGTGAAACTTAAGTTTTTTTTCCAAATGATAAAAAACCAATTTTGTGTATTTTTTTTATTGAAAACTTCATCATTTTATGTTCACTCAATGTCAGTGTCAATTATGATTACTAATTTCATTAGAATTCCTTGGAACATTGCATAGCAACAAATTTCTTCTGCCTAGGCAGTAAAAGTACACCTTTTCTGCCTGTTAAGCAGCAGGAAAAAGCCACTTTCCCTGCCGCTTGGATATCTGATTGAGATACTGTATCGTACTGTGTGCATCCCATTTTGGTTGAGACTAATTTTTTTCCGAGATATAGCATTTTTTTGCATTCTTTTCTGGCCACACTTTACATATTCGACCAAGAATGCCATTTATATGAATTATCCTGGAACTCTACTATTTGTCAATATATTACGGATGGAGCAAAACTTCTAGGGAAAATGCTACAAAAATACTTCCAAGGTTCTTCGAAGATTTCTTAAAAAAATTAGATACTTCAAAATGGTCAATTTTAAAATGAGCCTAGTTCTGTCATTCTCATATTATTTATGACGTGTATTCTTCTTCTCCTCTATTCGACGTGAAACGCATCTATGAAGACAACTCTTAGGTGTAGATAGAGGTCAAAGCGATTGGTTAATTTCTTGATACAATCGTCAGACTGAATTGAATTTCAATAGCTGAATTTGATACTATGGATCATACTATGAAAAAAGATTTTCATAGATGGGTTATGAATTTGAGAGTCAATTGCTGGTTTGCTCATTCAGTTTGTCAGTCAATATAAACAATGAAATCAACTGCAAATATTACTTTTGATAAGAGTACCTATTTTTATTATTTTTTCAATATATGCTATACATTGGTAGCATTATTGTTGTATCAGTCTGCTCCTCCATTTTTCATTTAGGTTTCATTATGTTCTATGCTGTCGTATGCTTCCTGGATGAGTGTGAAGGTGACTCTGAAGTAGTCCAAGAAGTCCCTTTATCCTGGCTAAGGAGTGAAAACACAGTATGTCTGTGGCCACCTACCAACTCTTCATTCCACATCTTGAATGAAACGCCACCAACGGTATCATGGATGTCGTGTAGAATAAGATGCGACATAATTTGTAGTATGACATGATTCGCGTTCGAAGTAAATTATTTCATCAACATTTACATTGATTCTTTTCAGATAGCCTCTCGAAAGCCAGAAAACGCTGCACAAATGAATCCACTTCAGAAGAAGAGAGAGGAAGAGGCCAGAGAAGGAGGTTTCAGTCCAAGCATTTAGTTGGTATGAATGTATCGATCCATTTTATTTCGACTGCGTTCTACAGCGGTTATAATGGGTGATAAAAAAAACGAAGATTGTAGGGTTTTTCATCTATCGTCTTTAAGATATATCAGAAGATAGAACTTGGCTTCATTCATTTATTCGAAATTTTTGTGATTCACCTATTGAATGTTAGTTTTGATTTTTGATGGATTTATATTATATACTTGATAACTTTGATTTATTTTTGGAATATTTGATAACCGCTCGTGAGTGAATTTGTTTTCTATATCCACGTCATGTTGAAGGAATGAACCAAATTTTTCTCAACTCAATTTCGATTTAATCTCTTAAAAATAGGTTTTCTTGTCTAAGCAAGAACATAGTGTTCCATCAGGTTTCACATATTCTGCAGTTTTTTCAATGGGTAATATAAGGTGCAACTGGAGGAAACATTTCATCTTCCTCTTCTTTTGTGATTGTTCCAGGACATAAGATGCAGTGTCGTTCTCCACCAATGCCTGATGGGGAAATTGATGAAAATATCCCTGAATACACTACTACAGGTGAGAAATGGTTTTTTAGATTTTTTCTCCTCGTATCTAAAATAGTGACATTTTGGGGCGGATCATACATATGTCCTCACTAAATTATTTTGATTTATATTTTTATATTTATGAACCAGGAGATAAAATCCCAGAAATCTGCAAAATTTGATACTGTACCTCCTGGATTAACCACGGGTAGTATTTTTTAAATTTTTGTTCTGAAATTTTCATCGTTGTATACAGGGCTTTTCACGATGAGCGTTAATTAGACGTTTCTCGCAAACCAGACAACGGATCAACCTGAAAATTTGACAGAATGCATAAATGAACATGATCTACACGCCTAAAATATTTTAGACGATGCGGCGTTGCCGCTTCTACTGTAAAGTAGCGGTTACTTTGATTTTTCAAATGGAACACCCTGTATATAATATCATTTTATGATTTCTTATCACTTCGTCAACAACTCCATATAGTATGTCCCTATACCTATCTCTTACCGTTTAAGAGATATAAATTAATTTTGATTTTTTTTTCACATGTACTTTTATAAACGCTGATAATATTGAACTCTCTGGTACTAAGACGATCAAATTCGGAATGGAGTGAAGTGATACCATAAGGATCCTCACTTCGGAGCCATATTTTTTTGCCTCATACAGGGTCTTTAGAAAATGCGGATACTTTGTTCACATGAAAAAATGAGTGGAAGTCAATTTTTTCAAATGGAACACCCTGTATTTTTCCACATTTTTGAGCTCTACATCCAATTTTAGATTGACTTTGTCCAGATAATCCCATTTCGATTTCGAACCGTTTTCGAGATAAACTGTTTCAAATAGAAACTGACGTTGTTTCCTTGCATTCATCACTTATTTTCGAGATTTAACATCTATTTTATACTATGTAATATTTCTTTTAGATTTAGTTTTTCAACAGTCACCAATCAGTCAATTCGAAAGTGATATGTTCCTTTGAAAAAGTTACAATTTGTATGCATTGAGGTATTGAGTGTCTCTACCGTACAACATTGCAAATTAGTATTTTTTCACAGTGTGCTTTGGAAATATAAATGATCCAATTTTGAAACGTCAAACGTTCGTTGGTGGTTTTGACTGATTGTGATACCAATTATAACCAAAAAATGTCAAGATTAGGTTACAGTAATGAAGATTTCTTGAATCTATTAATACTTTATGGTGAGTGCAATAGAATCGCAAGTAGAACATGCCGAGTATTGCATGAAAGATATCCACAAATTCCGAAGCCGAATAATAATGTGACAAACCGACTTCTAAAAAACTGTAGGTTGAATGGAACCTTTCATCCAAAAGTTATTCGTAGAAAGCCTGAAGTGGATGATAATGACAATAACATAACAGTTTTGGGATTTTTTTATGCATTTCCAAATGCTTCTCTACACGAAGCTGAAAGGGAGATAGGTATACCCTACGTGACAATTTATCGCATTCTTAATAAGCACAAATGGCATCCCTATAAATTTTACTGTGTCCAACATCTGAAAGAGACAGATTTGCCTCGTAGAGTGGAATTCTTTGAATGGTTACTTGTCAAGACTCAAGAGGATGAACATTTCCTAGACAATATCATATGGACAGATGAGGCCAAGTTTACAAAAAATGGAATTTTCAATAGACACAACAGTCATTATTGGTCGCCAGAAAATCCCACATGTCGTTCGCCAAAGGGGTTTTCAAGAAAGATGGCAATTTAATGTATTTTGTGCCATAAAGAATGAGTCAATTTTTTATATCGAGTTTTATGATGATAACTTGAATGCTACAAAATATGAAGATTTACTGAGGAATGCAATTCAAATGATTTTAAATCATAGGCCAGGAAGAGAACGTGTATGGTACCAAATGGATGGTGCTCCACCCCATAATTCTCGTTCAGTAAGTGAAGCTTTAACTGAAATCTTCGTAGATGGATTGGTAATAATGGACCTTTTCGTTGGCCTCCTAGAACACCAGATGGCAATCCACTAGATTATTTTGTATGGGGTTTCATTAAAAATATGGTTTACTCCGACCCAATAACAACAATGGAAGATATGAAATCGAGAATTAGAACTGCTTTCAATAGTTTAACTCCAGAATCAATCAGGAGCGCTACACATGAAAATCTTCTGAAGAGATTACATGTTTGTTTAAGTAGAGGAGGAGATGTGTTCGAACATATTCTGAAATACAGTGATAATTGAATTGACTTACTAATTCATGAATTTATTTTCAGTTCGTGTGTCAGCGTTAATAAAACTATTTTTTGAAGAGAAGTTTCATTTGATGGTTGAAGAGTATTTTAATAATTATTTATTCATGGCATTATCTGTGACTGATGAAGGAACATCGAATGGAATCTGTTAAATCTCGAAAATAAGTGATGAATGCAAGGAAACAACGTCAGTTTCTGTTTGAAACAGTTTATCTCGAAAACGGTTCGAAATCGAAATAGGATTATCTGAACAAAGTCAATCTAAAATTGGATGTAGAGCTCAAAAATGTGGAAAAATACAGGGTGTTCCATTTGAAGAAATTGACTTCCACTCATTTTTTCATGTGAACAAAGTATCCGCATTTTCTAAAGACCCTGTATGAGGCAAAAAAAATATGGCTCCGAAGTGAGGATCCTTATGGTATCACTTCACTCCATTCCGAATTTGATCGTCTTAGTACCAGAGAGTTCAAGATTATCAGCGTTTATAAAAGTACATGTTTGGTGAAAAAAAAATCAAAATTAATTTATATCTCTTAAACGGTAAGAGATAGGTATAGGGACATACTATATGAAGTTGTTGACGAAGTGATAAGAAATCATAAAATGATATTATATACAGGGTGTTCCATTTGAAAAATCACAGTAACCGCTACTTTACAGTAGAAGCGGCAACGCCGCATCGTCTAAAATATTTTAGGCGTGTAGATCATGTTCATTTATGCATACTGTCAAATTTTCAGGTTGATCCGTTGTCTGGTTTGCCAGAAACGTCTAATTAACGCTCATCGTGAAAAGCCCTGTATGTATCATACCTTTTCCGTATGACTTTTTTTTTCATTTAAGATTATCACGTTCAAGAGATCGGCACAGCCATATCACAGGATTCAGGTAAAACTTTTATTCCATTATGGTATACAAATATCCAAAGCTACTCTTTTCATTTCAGATCACATACAAGGAATTAGAAGAATCACACCACAGATTTCAGGTAGAAAACAGCCACATCACAGCATTCAGGTGGAATTTTCATTTCAGTATGAAATTCAAACATCCAAAGCTACTCTTTTCATTTCAGATCACATACAAGAAATTGGAAGAATCACACCACAGCATTCAGGTAAAAGCTCTGAAAAATGGCACTAAAGATTACTCTACATTTATATTTTTGCATTTGTAATTTTTTTTTAGGGCGACAATTCGGAACTCGAGTGGATGTGCATCAATCAGGTATTTATTTTTGGTGAAGTCGAAACCACATCATAATGCAACATATTTCTTTGAAGATGAGGTAGTTCATCAATGGTTGCAGCCTGATGCATGCTCCCAGTCTTCAAGTGGCCGTTTAAATGATATGACACCAATTCTTCTCAACGAGCACGGATATGGACACAAAGGTACGTTTATCAAATAAAGTTTCATATGTATTTGTGGTGAAAAATTTTTGAATCAGAAACAGGAAATAGAGTTCATTAGCGAAAGGGGGGTCTTGTGACATCCTTTTGAAGCTCCTGACGAATACTTTACAAACTTATATGGAATATAAAGTCAATATTTTTGCCCACTACAATTTTGTTTGCACAATTTGATATTCTTTTCCAGATGGTGCCCAGTCGCCATCTTGAAATTGTCATCTGTCAATATCATTTGTCAAATATAGTATTCATTTAGTTGACTGAGTGGACCCGTTCAAAAATGAAAGGGAGGGGGGCATTGAAGAAAACCACTGTATATATATTCGACACATGCATTGAATGCAGTAATGGCATCAATATCAGAAAATGGGAATTTACTCGTTATATCAGGGTCTACTGGCTCTCTTTTGTGTTTGCCTTTCAATTCGTCTAATGCGACAAGGACAACTCCCATCATATCAACGAGTTTATCCATTTTTGATTCCAAAGAGACCAACTTGTCATGGGTCAACTGCTGTGTTTGATTGTTTCCTGAAAGCACATATATATACATATATTATATCGTATGCATCGATTTCTCAATGATGTTGCTGTTTAATGAATTGGCTATAATTTCTACTTTGACCAAACTGTCCCTATCAGATTATTTGTGTATCTTCTTCAGAGAAATGTATTCAAAATCAATAGTGGATATGGAAGAGTTCCAGGCACAGAGTCTCCATTGAATTGTTTTTGAATGTAGCTGTGAATGAATTTTCGAAATACACTTGATACAGAAAATTCAACAGCGTATAGTACTTGTTGAAATAATAAGAAAACTTTTTATGGACATATACTTTCAAACGCTCCATTTTCAAGATGAACGAATGATCTTCCGAATTTAAATCATTTTCAGGAATGGTAACATTCTACATAAAATGTATCCCCAACGCGGCGGCAATACTTCACCCATTATACCAGTCATTGAAAAAAAAAAATAATTTCCATTGGGATAAAAAATGTCAAGATGCATTTGAAAACATAAAAAAAGAGTTGATATCAGAGAAGGTTTCAACACATTACGACCCATGTAAAACAGTCAAACTCACGGTTGACGCAAGCGCATATGGGCTGGCGGCTGTAATAAGCCACCCAGGAGAGAATACGCCGGATCGGCCTATTGCTTTTGCGTCAAGGGTATTGAATAATACGGAAAAGTCTTATAGCCAAGTGGATAAAGAGGCACTAGCATTGAAATGGGGAGTATCAAAATTCAATCAATATTTGTATGGTAGACATTTAGGAGTGATAATAAACCTATCATAAGTATTTTTGGATCAAAGAAGGGCATACCGGTAATTGCCGCAAATAGACTTCAGAGGTGGGCACATTTCTTGTCAGCCTATGATTTTGATATAAAGTATGTTAGTTCGAAAAATAATGTAGCCGATGGGTTGTCTCGGTTACCGCTGCAACAGACTGAGTTTGATAATATTAATAACATCTCGTATTATAACTATGTTCAGGAATTTTTGCTAATAAAACATAAAGATATAAAAGTAGCGAGTTGCAAGGATACTACTCTATCAAAGGTTATATATATTTCACACTACAGGGGTGGCCAGTAACCAGTAAATTATCCGATGAATTTTTGCCATTTAGTAAGAGGAAAGATGAACTTTCCGTGGAACAAGGGTGTCTCATGTGAGGATACGAGGTAGTTGTTCCAGAAAAATTCCGAAAAAATATTTTAATGGAACTGCACGACTCCCATTTGGGAATAGTTAAAATGAAGTCCTTGGCACGTTCTTACGTGTGGTGGCCGTCTATTAATGCCGATATCGAAAGGTTGGTTTCTAGTTGTAAAACTTGTCAAAAGTACAGCAATAACCCCGGAAAGTCTGAATTGATGCCATGGTCCTATTCCACGGAGAGCTGGTCTAGACTTCATTTGGATTTTTTTGGACCACTTTATAATTGTTATTTTTTAGTAGTGATTGATTCGTCCTCCAAATGGTTAGAATGTTTCAGAATGACCAATATTACGTCATCGTATACAATAATGGGTGGCCAGGTAGCCGTGCGGACAGAGTGTCTATATTCTAATTCGCATTCGCTTGCCGGTCGTGGGTTCGATCCCCGTCGACTGCAGAAATTTTTCTGATGGCCCAAGAAAGTGTTTGGGATCACACGTTAAAAGGTAAGGCCCCCGTCATTCCTTGCTCGCACAAGACTTTCGAAGACTTTTGAGGGTTGCTCGTAAGGGGGCAACCGAATGACGGATAGAACAAATTTTAGAACAAACAAATAAAAACTCTTAGAGGTATTTTCTCAAGATTCGGATTACCTAGGCTGATCGTTACCGATAACGGTCCCTCTTTCACTTCTGAAGAGTTTTCAAATTATTTAAAAATGAACGGTATTCCACATATTACTTCTGCACCGTATCATCCACAAAGTAATGGGGCTGCCGAAAATGCGGTCAAGACAATGAAAAATGCCATTACACGGGCGGAAAGCGATAATTCGTCATTAGATTTGGATTTGATAATACATCGTTTTCTGTTCACTTATAGAAATGTTGAGCATAGCGCAACGGGTGAATGCCCTGCAAAATTATTGCTGGAAAAGAGATTAACGTCTAGGTTAGATTTATTATCACCCCTAAATAATGAACGCGTTGCAGAGTACCAAGAAAAACAAATTAAAAATTTTAGTGGTCACAGAAAAGTAACTTCCAACATCGGCGATAATGTCTTGGTGAGGGATTATTCGTTAAAAAATGAAACAACCTGGGAACCAGCTACTGTAACTCAAATCTTGGGCCAGAGAAATTATCTAGTTAGGAATCAGAGAAATACGGAGATGAAAAAACATGTAGATCAAATACTTCCAGACAATTCTAGAATTATTTCCACAAATTCGAATAGTTCAGTTGAAATTGTTAGTAATAACAGTAGTGAAATTGATTCAATTAGTGATAAGGATAATCATAGGGTTATTGATGGTATAGAACGTGATAGTGTAGTTGAAGAAAGAGGTACTAATACGGAGGATATGAATACTGATACGAATAATTTTCCACGTGAAAATATTCCCGAGACTTTTAAACTATCACGTAATCTTATACCGAGAGAGCAAATCAAGCAACCGGATCGGTTCTATCCATCGTGAAAAATTATTCGTTTTGGAGGAGAATGATGTAATGTATTTTGAGCGCTTTCAATATAAACAAGATTGTTTCTATCGGAACCTAACAAAAACTAGTAGCAGCGGCTGGAACTTGCGATGAAAACTGTATGAGAGCCAGACCCGCCAGTCTTTGTATGAATCGTGAAATATACGTTGTCTCCAAAAAAGATCTTTGATTCATACGATAATAATACGGTTATATCATGATGTATAATAGAATCAAAATTGAATAATGACATTTAGGAGTAAACCAAATTTTGTTCAAGGCTATTTCATCCTGATTTTACAATATTATAGATAATTGGTTCAACTTACGAATTATTCATAAGATGCTTTGTTCAGCAAGGCTACTTCAACTTCCTCAAACTTCGCGTCATTATCAATCGGGAGTTTATCAAAAATATCGCATCTTTCAATTCCTTCATTGCCCAAGTCTGGACTCCCTTTTTCCATCAGGCTGTGTAGCATAGTGGAATTCGAATGTATTTCAGATTTAAGAGCAGCTAGTTCTGTTGTAACGTCTTTCAATATCATATTTATTTTTACAAGATAGGAAATGACCTCTTTTTGAAATTGATCTGAAATAATAATAATAATTATAACAATAATCAATAGTAATGATGATTATGATGATGATTGTATAGAAATATGTAGGTACAGCCTTGAATATCACCAATTCAATTATACCTTCATCATTGTCCTTTCTCTAATTTCTGGTTGAAATAATATTTGAGATGTGACAGATGGATTTCCAGGTGTTCCAACAATCGTAGTAATAGGGTTCCTGACAAAAGTATTTCTAGGTGACCCGACAAAGCTATTTCTAGGTGTCTCGGCAAAGCAATTTCTAGGCGTTCCAGCATGGTAATTTCTCAGTGACCCAGTTGATGATGGTGTTGGTGGCAGTAAATTATATAAATCTGGAGTTTTAGATCCAGCTAGAAAAATAAAACATGTTTTACTATAATAATATACACCACATCCATCAAAAAAATTTACCAATATACTATAAAAAACGAGGACATAATTTGTAACTGGATATCAAAAATTTAAAAATGATAAAATAAAGTATATTCAGGGTGTTTCCTAAGTAGGTGCAAAAATTTTAGGCACTGTTCATGTGATCCCTTTCAGTATTTGAAGAAAAATTCCAATGAACATAATATGTCCAAAAAAAAATCATGTTGAAGATACAGCTCATCAAGAAAGTTTGATTAATTTTGCTTACTAAAGTGCATGCTTATTAATTCACAAGGTTGGTATGTGGTAAATTGAAAAATGAATAACTAAAGAACATATGAATTTTCCTTTCCTAAGCTATTACAATAAGGAACTACCCTCCAAATTCTTCACATGTAGGATACACCTTGTATAGTTATTTGAAAATTAAATTATGAATTCAATTCAATATATGAACATGTTACCTTCAGGAGCATATGATTTGGTTATTGGGCATGATGGTAGATCTATCAATGATTCACTGCTATCACCGTTTGTATCAGAATTCTCATCACTTGAAATTTGTTTTTTCTTGTGTGGTCCCTTAGACGGCAAATCAATTTCCTTGTCACTTATATCTGATGTCAGACAGGCTTTACTGGCTTTGGCAGATGCTAGTGTGAAGGAATTAAATACTGATTTAGTCATCAATTTGACTTTATATAGTTGCCAAGAACATGAATTGGGTTCCTCTAGTGTTTTGATGGCTCTCTCCAATTTTGACCGACCATAAGGTGGATATAAAGCAAAACCACCATCTTGCAGCCAATTGCATGGCAGGACTTCAACCTCATCGGTTTCACAAAACCGAACCACAGTCCAGGACATGACCTGGAAAATGCAAGATCAGTGCATGATATATTATGGACTAGAATCGGAATTCGTACTTATGATATAAATTCTAATGCTGAAGGTGTTACCTCCATTCAACTTAGATTATGTATTTATGGAGTCAGTGGATTACAAACATTTTTCCATAGCTACAAGAATGTATCAACACAGAAATGTCTAAAGTTCCACCCTAATAACGATTACAGCACAAATATAAATAATATATACTATCATGCTTTTGCGTGTATGATAAATTGACATTTATCATACAGGGCGTGGAAAGAAATTCTGAATTGAGACTCTATCACGAATCTGAATGTTGGCACCATGGAAGCATATAAATGGGGGTATTACAAATAAAAACAATTGATACTAACAACCTCAACAATCTCAACATCCTGTGTTTCAAAAATAAAGCAAGCTAGGACATATGATTATATGCACACTTTTTCATAAAATATCATGAGGAATCACCCTTTGCAGTTTGTAGCACTTATTCACTAACAACCTGTATATTAGAGGGATCCATGGTGAAGCAGTGGAACAACCACATGAGACTCTTTATGAGGCAATCTCACTAACTTTGATTTTATGTTTGATACAGGAACATAAAATATATCACTTAAATTACTCACAGAAAAAATATTCAATAGTTGAGATGGGCATGGAGTTTTAAAGAAATCTTTTTGGCATAAATATTTTTGGCAAATCAGGACAGATTCCTTGAGTTCTATAGAAAAAGCTATATTTTTTATTTCTATTATGGAATTATCTTTTAAAATACAGCAAGAGTATGCAAGAGAGACTGACAATTTGAATTTAGGAAAATTAATAGTTTTATACTCAGGACCAATACAACCATCAATTATTGGTCCACCAGAATGCTCCTGAGCAAGGACAAACTGCGAAGAACTTTCAGAGACATGGATTATTTTATTTATACTTATTTCCTTCATTCGCCTTATTATTTGAGAAAGTGGTTTATGATGTTTTCGTATATGCTTCAATAGAGTCTGTAAAAAATTTCCACTAGAGAAATTACTAAAATTTTCAATGGATCCAAATTTACGAACATCATCTGGAAGATGCAATAAATTATGGAAATTATGAGAAATATAATGTACTCCATACAAATCCATCATAGTTTTAACAACGTGTATCAATAAAGACTCTGCATAGTCAGTGAAAGTGTTGCAATTTGCCTTACCAGACAGTGAAGACATTGCAATAGAGAGAATTAAGAAGTGCTGATATTTCTGTTTTGTGAGAACATTCAATAGCACTATTGGTCCTGTGTAAAACAGAAACTGATGGAAGTCTGTAGCTTTCCACCGCTTCACTTCTGATAGGGATCTTGGTTTTCTAGAAAATTCTGATGGTATGAATGGCACAAGCAGAATCAGATTATCTGAAATTGCATTCACATCTCTAGCTGAGAGTTTGCAGGGAGGTCGACCAAAGCACCATATTCCACACAGAAGTTTTTTCACAACACCCAGTGCTACTAAATGCATGTAATCCAGAGGTACATCTTTGATTATATTTATGTTTGGTATGTTTAGTAAAATGGTTTTACCAGTATGGTGGTCTTTGTCTGCCTGTGTTAAGAATTCCTCATGTGTTCTGTGAGTGAATGTCAAACTTGGAAAACATAGTCTGTCTTTTAAATATTCTCCTTCTTGAGTATATTTGGTACATGAACCATAACCAGAATGCCCTTTGATAAACAAAACTAATGCTTTTGCTACAGCATCCATTAAAAACATTTTTATTTTGAATGTACATTTTTTTCCATATAACACTAACCCATTATGTGTTAGCCTAGTAGCCTCAATTACAAAATCTTCTGAAAATTCATTAAAATTTCTTGGTTTGGAGTAACCATGATAAAGCCCAATTAGAAAAACCCGTTCACATCCCAAAATCACTGTAACACCCAGAATAGTAGAGTATAAACGGGATCCTATCGTGCTATCCCGTGGGCACTTTGTTGCTAAAATGTAAAACCCATTTTATATCATTCCCAAGACCTTTGCAATGCAAAATCACTTGGTCGTCCAAAAATCGTAGTTGGAGGGGAGTGGGAGGAGCCTTTTTTTCTAAAAAAGCCATTTTTTTTTTTCATCGGTTTTCAGATCCAAGATTTGAGATAATTCATGCCTTGAATTTGCATACCCATACGGATATCAGAAATATTTTTTTTTATTTATAAAAATACGTCGCGACATTGTTGTATATGGAGCGCCTTCACACACAACCGCTTGCCCTAAACATCCATATTTTTAAAATCATTTAACTCGCTCTACCTCGAAAAGTATTGGGTCTAGCAAAAAAAGGCTCTCTATAAACGTTAAAGACCAAACATCAGAGAACATGTTGGTTTTTTTAGAATTTTGATTGGATAATTGGTTCACGAGAAAATTGAATAAATCGAACGGCATGTCGCGACGAACAGCGGCGAACGCAGAGATGCGAGGAAGGGCGAGATTGCTATGCCTAAGTCAACGAGAATCCACTCTACTGATGGCGATGTTGGTACGGTCGACTTTTATTTGTGACGGCGATTTTTTAGGTATTTGAATACGCTTTGGGCACGACTATAAGGATGATTTTTGTCTGAAATCATGTTTTGTTTTCAGAATATCAACACATACTATTCTGCAAAAATATTGTATGTTTTGAGTGATATAATGTATTTGTGTAGGTATAATAGTAATAAGTATTGTTTCAAAAGAATTTCACCTAGGTATCTTTGAGAGGGATTTATCATGATTTTTTATTCTTTTCCTATCCGATCATTCTTGTTATAAAGCTTTCTAAGGACGTGGTATCGTCAAGAGCTTGGGATATACATATCTAAAATGGCATCGATTTGCCCTCTCATAAAAATGATAATTAAACCTATGTATTTGTATTAACCTAATTTTTATAAGTACATTATTCATTCTGAGTCTGACTCATCATCAGTGTCATCTTCTACGATTGAAATTGTTTCACGTATGTCACCTTTGTTGCCACATTTCACCTGGGCCATACATTTACAAGAACCAATGCATTTGATCTGTTTCCTTTTACACGAACATAGGGGCCCTGATGTACAGTCTGCTACCATCAATCACAAATGCTCACAAAATCGAAAAGTCGAGCTCGAACAAACGATACCAAGTGCGTTTTTTGCCTTAGCGCCACAAAAACAAGGGACGATCTATTTGAAGTTTTCCAAATGAACATTCTTCCCCCATCTATTGGATTACCACGAAAGCAATAGCAAATCATAGGTAGGTAACTGGCACGAACACTAATTCCTCAGAAAATGCGATGCTTATACAGGGCGTTCTGCTTCAATAGTCGTGCCCAAAGCGTACTCAAAAACCTATAAAATCGCCGTCACAAATAAAAGTCGACCGTACCAACATCGCCATCAGTAGAGTGGATTTTTGTTGACTTAGGCATAGCAATCTCGCTCTTTCTCGCATCTCTGCGTTCGCCGCTGTACGTCGCGACATGCCGTTCGATTTATTCAATTTTCTCGTGAACCAATTATCCAATCAAAATTCTAAAAAAACCAACATGTTCTCTGATGTTTGGTCTTTAACGTTTATAGAAAGCCTTTTTTGCTAGACCCAATACTTTTGAAGGTAGAGCGAGTTAAATGATTTTAAAAATATGGATGTTCAGGGCAAGCGGTTTTGTGTGAAGGCGGTCCATATACAACATGTAACTTGCAAAACTCAGGGGGTAAGGATTATTGAACTGAGTTGAGATTTTCCCCTGAGGTGGCTGTTTATCTGCCTGAAATCCACTGTCCCTATCCTCTCTAGGAACGCACGGTGTTCTTTGAACATTATAGGGATCCCCTTTCGTGCGCTTCAGGCGATAAAAAAAAAGTGATTTGAATTTCTCAAGTTTTTGCTACAAAATTTAGTATTTTTAGTGCCTTGTTCTATACAGTAGGAATAAGACACTGGTAGCTCAGCAGGACACTGGAGTGGGTACGTTAGGCACAGTAAAGAAAATACTTATATTTTTCTACCAAAATATCACGTTTAATATTCTGCAAAGGCATACCATACTCTTTTATGTGATTTTAACAAAACTATTATGGCTAACATACATAATCTAGACTGACCAAAATCAACTCTCTGGTTCAGTAGATGGTAGTCAATTTGACTCAAGGTACATAAATATGACTGGTTGAAATCAACTCTCCAAAACAGCCTACAATTATATAAAGTTCATGTGTGAAATATAAGTGATAAATACCGCAGTGCACATTGGTTTCCAGGTGTGAAAATCAGACAAAAGATAACAAAATATGGTATTAAACTATGGATAGGTCAAAGCTTATATGATATTAACCCCTCAGGACTGAATCAACTTTTTACTAGTCTGATAGATAGTAATACTTGGTGGCAGTTATCTAATACAAAAAAAAAATGGAACGAACTCACCAGCAGGAAGCAGAACTACAGGTGCACAGTCCTAAATATGCAGGATAGTTGTGTACAGGGTGCAGCATACAGATGTCCAGGGTGCAGGATACTGATGTCCAGGGTGAAGAACGTAGGATGTAAAGATGTGCAGACGTAGATGTGAAGATGTGCAGAACATAGGTGTAAAGATGTGCAGGGGTGCTACAGGGTAAATCCTCAGGGTGCAAGGTACAGAAGGCTGTGGATCTGATCAGCCACAGATTAGAGCCCCTACAGCTCTATGGCCTCTTAGTAGAGGTAGTTCCCAGGGACTGGGACGAAAAACCCTTTGATGATGGGTTGGTTTGATGAAGTTGAGTGACGCCAGCCTCGTGTTCTTCAGCCACAAATTCCTCGAAAATGAGGTCTGGTACCAGAACCAACAAAGGTATCCAGAAAATTGAGATTCTTGGTCAAATAATCCCAACACTATTGGAAAAATTACTACTATAAGTGAATTATTTACAAAGAAACCGAATCTCAGGCTTACTTGTACCACGAGGTGGTCCACTCAAGGTTTCCAAAATGAATCC